TTTGGAATGAAATGAAATTAATATTCTAAGTTTACCATACGCGGAAAAGTACTCCGTAAATTTCACAGAAATATTGATTTGTTCATAAACAAAACTATAATAATAAATACAGTTCATTCAATCATTTAAAGATTTAATTATCTATTAAATTAATTACGGAATAAAAATCATTTTTGTGTTTTCGATTTATGATTTTAGTGACGCTTAAGTTTTCTCTTCTGTCCAAGTAGGGTATAAGTGAAGATTTTTTTGTTTTGTACTATAATATAATTGATGTTTAACAGATCACTCTAGATACCAGAACAGATCAATAGATATCATTAATTTTAAGTGCATTAATATTAAGTGAAGGGAGTTTTTGTAACAACATGGTCTTACCATTTCAGAAAAATAATGGTTTTGATATTTCCGTTTGATGTATTTATAAGTTCGCTGTTGTGATTGTTCTTTGGTCTCTGGAATATAGTCATGGGTCAGAATTATGTTAATGATTACGAGTTGGTTTAAAAACTTCGGACTATTTTGTTTAGACTGTTCTAATAGTGTCTCTAAAACGATTCAACGATAGCATATTTAGTCACGACACTCACTGCACAGAAGTTTTCATGCCAAAATCATCCTTCAATATATCTCAGATGCAAGAAAGCCTTCCATGTTTTAATTGTTCCCTCTTCAATATATTTCATACAATTTTTCAATGTTTACTTTGGAGATGTCACTTTTTGGGTGTTCAGTCGTCATTATGTATAGTGTTAAGTCCACGTTATAAGACAGTCAACTACCTTTTTACTTTTATAATGGCAAGTAATAAATTGTATTTAATTTAAAAAGTATAAAAAAAAATTATTGAAGATTTGAAATAGAAAAATTTAATCCTTATGAGATATTGCTTTTTATTGTAAAATTTTGTTCTTTTTTAAAAACAGAATTACATAGATTACTAATATTTAACCAAAACTATTTCAAATGACTTTATTAGGTGTCAAATTAAAAGAAATTGAATAGACTAAAACTTAGTTTGAGAGTTGAGCTGCTTGAATAAACTTTTTTTAAAGGTATTAAAGATATATTGATTGTATGATTTTTTTCGGGTAGAATTCACTGAATAGTCGAATAGAGACTAAAAATGTTCAATTCTTATATTAAAAAATTAATTAAGATATGATTCGTAATTTTAGTATACCTACGTATGCAATGTGATTATATAAATATATATGAAAAACTTTTTTTGTAATGTAACAATAAAAAAGTTTTTGTTTTTGTTATGTAGTAATAAAAAATAAAAAACTTATTTATATATTCACATTGTATATAATAAAATCACGAAAAGATTAAAAATTTAAAGATTAAAAATAGATAATATAAATGTAAATTTTAAATCATTAAATAAAAATTGAAATTATCTGCAATATTATTTCAAGTGTATTCTAATATATAAATATTGATATATGATTTTATTGGCATTGCGTTTAATTGATACTTTGTAATAATAAGGAAATGTTTATTAATTTTGATACATATTTCACTAAAATATACCAAGTAGATATGGAGGGAGGTGTTTGTGTAGGGTGCGACAAGGAAATGCACGGGACTGTAATTGAGTTTTGCCAATGTAATATATTCTTATAGTAAAGTTACGTATTTGTGTTATTAAGTATTTGTATTACATAAATATTTTACTAAGAGAAAAGTTTTAAAAATATTAGATATTCTTTTAATAGTTTTTTATATTATTAAATCAAAGCAATTTGTATGAAATATAAATTTTTAATAAAAAAAATTGTAAAACGCGCTTGAAGTGTTTATTAAATTTTCTAGTCGAATGCTTGATTAATAGCCATAATTATTCTTGCTTAACCCTCAATTCATTAACAATAATGGATGAAATCAACAAATAACTATTTGATTAATTTATATATTTAAATCGTGTATTGTATGGTTAATAAAAATGAATAAAAAAAGAAATGAAAGTTTATATAAAAATATGGTTTATAATTGGAAATGTAACGAAAATCAATATTTTTCATAGTAAGAAATTTAAGTAAAACTTAATATTTAATTTTAAAATTAAATAAATACACTAAAATCAATTTTGCATTTATATGAATGCCATCTTACATTCAATTTCATTAAAATTAATATTTATTGAGTCTTGCCCGCATACCGAACCTGGTTTTGTAACAATCCTGATAACATTTTGCTGCAGTTGCCTTGAAAACGATAACAAGCCAAAAATTGAAAATTGAAAAACAACTCAGCATAGAAATTAAATTTAAAAATACTAAAGTTACTTTGAGAAACTGGTATTTAAGCTGTACTGAACACAGTAGATAAATTGCAATATACAATTAAGTGATTGGTGGTATTATGGATCAAGGCTGAGTGAAGAGGTGAAGAAATGCAATAAGCACGTGCAACAAAATTGGCATTGAATACTTTAGAGTGTAGCGAAATAAAAACAAAAAAGATTTATTGGAATTTATGTCGATATTTTGCAGCCGGTTCTCTTAATTGTTCTCAAGTCTTTCGCAACATCCTCAACAGCTTCTGTTTTCGTCGGATGGCAAACTTAGTTATCTTGTAATTATTTATCATGCACGATTTGGAATGCATTAACAAATATTGATCATAACAATCTGTCATCTTAAACTATAATTTTTAAAATTTTTCCAATATTAATTTTGATATGTTTATCCGGTATTCTTAGTTGAATTTTATTGTATACTTTATTTACTTTCGAAAATTTCTTTTATCATGTAAGTGCTAATATATTCTTAATAATTTCAAGTTTAACTTTAATTCGCATTTACAGGGTTTAGTTAATTCTATATAAACAATGATATAGCTAATTGTTTTTTATCAAACACAATTTTTGCTACCCCATAGGACTAGTGCTAGTTTTAATCTTTTCATTCTATATTATTTACGTGTCTGGAAAAATAGTGAAAATGGTGATATCATTTTTTAACATTGACACACTGTCTATAGAAACTTTTTCTTATTTTTATTCTTTGTTTTTAGTGCTATTAGAAATCATACACATGCTCTGCACCTATTTTTCACATATCGAGGAAAAGAGTCAAGTATCTTTTTATATTGTAATATTATAAAACATATTTTTGAGTACCTTTTTAAGGTATGTGATGGATCCCTTAAAAGCGTATCCATATAAATCTCTTCCATATCTGCAAAAATGATTCCTTTTATTAGAAGGTGCTTCTCAAAAACCATGATAGATAGAGAACTTAAATTTTTTAATAAAACTGATAACCGATAAGTCTTATTTCGATTTGCTAGGTGACTTCAGATTTTTCGGCAGTTTTGATTTAACAACACATTTTGTTCAATTTTAATATTCAAAACCAATTTTTTTCGAAGCTGCTTAAGTCTTAAGTCTTTGAACTCGATAAGTCTTATTTCGATTTGCTAGGTGACATTAGATTTTTCGGTAGTTTTGATTTAACAACACATTTTGTTCAATTTTAATATTCAAAGCTTCAAAATTTTTTTAGAAGCCACTTTATACTAATATAGCTTGCTTCTTGAGATATCTAGCTTAAAGTTGTGAACTGTTTACATTTATGGCACAAAAAAAAACAAAATAAGTCTTGCAGCCATTGCAGCAACTGGTACAGTGACGACGCGTGCTCTATCTGGAAGGGTGTGCGGCCCTTCTTTAATGTTGTTTTTACATGTACCACTTAAATTAAAATATATGAGATGTTTTATTAATCATAACTATATTATATTAGGCAACAGTATATTCGTAATATTATGTTAACAATTCATTAACAAAATAACATATTAAATAAATTAAATTAATAATTTATATATAAATTTAATATTATATCAATATGGAAGAAACAAAACTTTTCACATAATTCTCGTAACATCAAACCAACTTTTTTCAAACAAAAGAGTTTTAACTCAGAACCATACATGTTTATCCAGTGATCAAACAAAATCAAACCCACTTGCAACGTATAAATGTGCGGACAAGTACTCCGCACAGTAAGCGACAGTAATTAGTGGGTGCTACTGTTAAAAGGGGAGAGACGAAATGTGATAGAAATGTATGATGAGATGAGCTGCAAACTTCAGCCGCTCATGCAACCACTTTGGCAAATCATCATATTGGATTTGTATGCATGCAGTTGATATTTGAGTAGAACAGAAAATTACTCTCATACAATTCCCACTATATAAATCTCTATTTCTGATATTACGAACGGGAGCACACGCACATTATTTTGTTCATATGCAACTACGGTTTTTTCTGTGATTTGAGCTGCAAATATATGAGCACCACTAACAAGTATAGCAGCTAACAGAAGCAAATTGATTGAGTTTTCAGAGACAATTATATTTAATTGTTTTTGCTAAAACTTTAATCTTTAAAAATATATATATGGAAATGTAATAAATAATAATAATTCTTGATGTGAAGATACTTAATAAATTTATATATCTATGTTATTTGACATTTTGCAAATTATGTTAGGGTGTTCACCGCACACCTCCGCACCTTAGAGCAATCGTCACTGAACTGGTATATATAATTTTTATACTGCTTAACATCAATAGTATATCAGTTTAGAGTTTCCACTATGTTTTATAATACCAAACATACATTTTTGTTGTATTTTTATATTATCTGGAACATCACATTTTCACCATTCTTTAAATATTTTCATTATTTTTAATGTTTTTTTATTCTTTAATGTTGTATATATGAGCTTATAATAATTATTTATATTCTAATTATAATATGAACTATATTTATTTATAAATATATACTTTTTTTCACTCTCGCTACATAATTTTATCATATAATTTTTTTTTTTAATTTTATATATTTTACCCTTTAAAAGAAATACAGTATATATTTTCATTACAGTTATTTACATTTTATTGAAGAATCAATCATATTTAAGTATATATTTCAACCGATAAAAATATTTCTCAATTATAAATAAAACAACAATTTCTATTTCTTACAGGAATACATTACATCATTTTATGAAGGATGGCGGGACCTTATGGATAACAAATCAGATCCGCGAACGAGAAATTGGCCCTTAATGAGTTCGCCCTTCCCCACCATAGCAATTAGTTTAACATACGCTTATTTTGTAAAAGTGAGTATAATTAATAGTTTGGACAGTAAAAAATAAAAATAAAAATATACAAAAAACCACAGTAATAAAAATGTTGCTGGAGGGTACTTTATTCTGCCAGTTAAATGCGGATATGGGGAAATCCCTTTAGAATGTAGTTACAAATTTTTGCTACCAATACTAGATATCTATTAAAAGATGTTAAGAGAATGCAACCAATTACATATGTAGTGTGGCTTTTGTAACCACAACATGTGAGTACTTGCTTCCCTCTTAGCAAATGTGCACTTAACTTGATCAAAGTATATAATTTATTTATGCATAATACACACTTAACTCCTCTATAAAGTTAAAATCTCAATGACTTGCAATAAACACAAAAGCATTTTATATTGCCTTTAACAATTTAATGACGTCGACTTTTTATTAGTTTTTTACATTTCGAAATGAAATTCAAGTTCATTAACAAAAACACTAAAAAATGCAAATTCTAGAAGAATATAATCTGCAAAGTAATATAATTAAGAATATAGCTTTATGTCTGACATCTGCTTAGGACAGTAGATTGAATCACTTTGAATATCGAACTACTTTGGACATTGCTCCAAAGAGCATTCGAGACTGAAAACTAGTTTACAATTCCTTTCGAAGTGACATGTGTAGTTGTTGTAAACAAATATTATTTTATTTAAAATCATGAACCTGTAATCTGGCTATGCCTGTGCAGCTTGGAGTTTTTCCATGCTCCACATGTCCACTGAAAGCTGTAGTGCTGCTTGTGTGTGATTCAATGGTGTGCTGCAGCATAAGTAGCGCATCGGTGCGATTTTGAAATATGCGCAAGATAAAAGTTCAGGGTCAGGAGAAACCAGTAAAACAAAACAAACTGATAGTGTGGTGAATGTTTTTAATAACTACAGCTTAGGTTTTAAATATATGCTATTGACAAATCTGATATAAAAATTAAATAAAAGTTATAAAATTAATTATTAAAGATGCTTTTTAGAAAAAATAGCACAAAAGACTTAAGCAACAAACTCGCTTTTAGTAACTCTTCAGCGGTGTAACCTTGATGCGCCTTTCCGCCATAAAATGCGTGCATTATAAATTATCGCATAATAAACTTATTACATATAAAAAGTAAAAAATGCTTTTAAATATGCAATTTAAACATTATTATGCAACTATATAAATACCAGCAGCGGCAATAAATACATATAAAATAAAAAAAAAAACGAACTTACATAAATAATATTTTCTCTAAGTTTTTGCAAAATTTGACATTGTTTCGCAGATGATTTGATGCTTCCTCCTGAAATATTCGCATCATTAAACGCCAACATTTCGCAGCACTGAGGAGCCAAAAGTGTTGGAGCATCTCTTGATTGCTAAATTTACGAGCATAAACTAATTTCTACAATTTGAAATATTTTTTCCAAGTATAAAAAGTTTGTCACATTAAAGCATTCGAACACCAAAGCAAAGCACTAAAAATCAAAGCATTTTATGCAATTTTAAGTATTCACATAAAAACTTAAAAACTTAAAAAAGCAAAAAAAATGAATTTATACATAAAATAAAAAAATAAATTTTACAAATGTTGCTGCAACACATTATTGGCTTTTATTACGACGGTTAGCGACTTTTATTTTGAATAAAATGCAAACATTACAGCTGAATTCGCATTGGAATAAATTATCAAAGTAAATTTTGTTAATTAAAAGTGGGGTAAAGAAATAAGAAACCATTTTTTTTTGCTTACACATTTCCAAGTTTCCACTATTCGTAATTTTTAATTTCATTAACAAATTTTTAATATAGCATTTTTGACTTACAACGTCTAGACATTAGTATTTAAGAAATCGTTTTATTAGAACTTTTGGCAAGTAACTAACAGCTGTTATATCTTACATTACATAAGTACAACAACATTTTTCTTAAAAAGTTACTTTTTATAAATAAATTTATATAATTTTCAAGGACATATCTTAAATTCAATATTATCAAGATAGCTGTTGGGTTTAACTAACTGCTATCTTGTTGCTGGGACATGGAGGCTTATGCTTGTCTACTTAACACCAATCAGCTCACTTTACTTAATATGTATATTGGAACTAGTACGGAAGTTACATTAAAATTATTTTGGAGCTTACCTAATTACTTACTTATTGTAACTCTTAACTTTCACATAAGTATAGTCCTCTAACAATCTTCTTAAATTGAATCCCATTACTATTTATATAATATACATAACTCTAAATACACATAAAAAATTAATACGTTTAAACGCAACGTCTGTCTTGTTATATTGCTACTAGGTTTAAAATATGTGTCCCCAATCTATCGTTACTTTAAAAATTTGATTTCTCGATCGAATGCATTTTTTTATATGGATAAAGTGCTTTCAAGTACTTGAAGTACTTAATGTGATATCAATAGTATATCAGTGATTTAATGTTAGAATCAAATCTCTAAAGTTTAGATTTTAATGAAAATTGATAAGGCCTCCCTACTGTATGTAACATACCGTACTGTATGTAACAGATGTTACTTGGAATATACATACGTGCACCTAAATCCTGGTTCGCATCACCAGTCGACTACTACTACACTTTCAGGAGGAGTTAAAATTTCAACGCTTTCGATAATACGACTATCGATACATAATCTGGGCTGAACTGAGTTGTCATATCAACTGCTCATAACTTTCATTTTATCAACATTGTTTTATTACTGATTAAGTACCACCATTATTTATGTCTTTACTTATTATCTAGATATTATTTGTTTAATTGTTACTATAAACAGGATGAGTGAAGGGATACAACCTTATTTAATCCTTTTTCCCTAGTTTTTATTTCGAAGGTGTTCGAAGGCCTATAATCAAACAAATAATAATAAATAAATAATAATATTATTTACTAAGTTTGTCTATTATGATGTCTACTTGTCCATTCGTCTTTCTGTCTATTTCCTTTCTTGTATGTCTCTCTGTTTGTCCTTTTGTCTGTCTATTTTTTTGTATGGATAAAATTTTTTCTGAATTCAGAAAAAAATTGGCTGTCTCTATTAGATAGATCTAAACAAAAAAAAATTTAATAATGAATATTTGTAAATATGAGTACAATATATGTAAATATATAAATTATAATTTTTTTTTAATTAACTTGAAGATCATTAATGGCAGAAAAAATTGAGGAAATTTAGTAATTTAAGACTTCAGACGATCATACTATAAAAAAAAAATACCATTTCAACGTATTCGAAATTTGATATATAGATATATCCTAGATAGCACATAGTGAAAACACATTAAGATAAAGTATTTTTTAATCCCTATCTATTTTTTGTACTTATAATTATCACAGCAAATTGAACCTAGTATATTAGAATACCGACTGTTTTAATAGGACATTTCTTAAAGTTTCTATTTTTCTAATTGAAGAATACTTTTGAAGGAAATGTAAGAGCGTCAGCATTTATACATACTGAGAGATTTACGTAGATACAAAACACAATAGATCTCTCTGATATTACATTACTAAACTAATTATCATATTTGAGCTTATTTATATGAATTAAGTGGGATTGCGTTCAGATTTTGAAGCATAAAAGATACGTCAGCTGTTTTTGAATTTTGAATCTAACCTTTCGTGAAGTCCTAATTCTTCAGAAAATATGAACACTTAGAAACATCTAATATAAATAATTACAATGTGAAAAACTTACGATTTGCGGTACTTTTAATATATTGTGTATCATATGTTAAATATGATAAACTATAAAAATAATATTAAAACGCTGGAAAGACTGGCTTACCATTAAGTAAAATAGGCATAAACTTGAAGTAAAATTACAAAAACAGCTGATGTTAACTCACTGAGTAACAGATCGAGAGTCAAATCTAGTTTGACAACACTATACAGTGTTACTAACTTTTGAGCGTGTTTTTCGAATTATTAATTCCGGTTACGTTTTATACAGAATATATATACATTTATTTACAGAGATTTATGTATAAACGTGTGGTATTTTGTATTTTTAAATATTTTATGAAACATAATAGTTTTACAATGAGTCATAATTATGAAAATCAATTTACATTGGAACTTTTCAGTGCTTTTGAAACAAAAAACTTTTGATATTTTGTGCAACTCTATTCGCCCAAAACTTGGCAACTCTTATAGTTTTTTAATTTTTTTTTATGGTTTTTAAAAATAGAAACCATTGGCATATAAAATTTTTAACAACATTTTTGAATGTCTCAATAACATGACGCGCTACTAAAATAAATTCGCACATTTTAATGCTTTATTTTGAAGACATTATTTTTTTTTAATTAAAAAAATTGCAAAATTTTTAATTTTATATCAAGTTTTTTAACAATCTGTCTTTGTTTGCAGGTACTTGGTCCCAAATTGATGGAAAACAGAAAACCCTTTCAGTTAAGAAAAGTTTTGATTGTCTATAATTTTGCACAAGTCATATTTAGTGCCTGGCTATTTTATGAAGTGAGTATTTACTTTATTACTTCTAATTATAAAAAACATATTTCTTTAATATCAATTTATTGTAGAATATTTATATATTATAAACAATATTAATATTTATATATGTATATATTGAATTATTTAGAAAAAATATTTTTGTTTTATTTAGTGAAAATTCTATATAAAAGAGTTTTTTTTATTTATTTTATAATATGTTAATATATAAACTATTTATATACATTGAACTATTAATAAAAAAATATTTTTCCTTTATTCACTTAAAGTCCTGCATAGGAGGCTGGCTAAATGGTTACAATATTCGATGCGAACCAGTCGACTACTCCCCTTCTCCAGCAGCGTTAAGGGTAAGTAGGCGTCATATAAAATTTGTAAATTCAATATTTACAAAAAGTTTATAAATGTATTATAAATTTATCTATAATGATGCAGTTAAATAAATAATAATCTGTATTGATACAGAATATTAAATAAATAACACATTACAATATTTATTTCACATACATGTCATCTTAAAATTCTTATTCGTCTTATATAAAAAATTCTATTATTATTAATAAACATTCAAAAAAATTATTTATTTTTTATTTTTTTAAAAAAACCTGATTGGATTTTAACTCGATAAAAAAGAATACTAAACAAATGTTCTTGGTGGAGCACTTCACAAAAAAAAAATTCTATAATATATTGAAGTATTGTTCATATAATAAATTTTTTTTTAAGAGCATAAAAATCAAAAACAAAAAAAAATTTAAAAAATCAAAAATAAAAAATAAACTTTGTTTATTTAAAAAATAAAATTTATGCAGCTTAAAACAGACAAACTGTCTGTGAAATTCGTCCACAAAAATTGTGACCGCAAAATTAAAATTGCGAGAATCAATCTTAAATTAAATTAAAGAAAGTCGTTTGTAAAATTATAAAAAAAATATGAACTTTTATTAAAATAATTCAAACGGTTTAGTAAGATTATTTTTTTATTTATTTATTTTGCATATATAAACTGTCTTGATTAAAGTGTTTTGCTATAGATGTCATTAGGTTATTTCTGATGGTAAGGTTATTGCCATTACCATTGGTGGATTGGCAGTTATCAGTTATATGCTAATTATTAGTTTGAGTAAGAGGATAGTTTTGATAAATAAAAGTCGATTCTACTATAATCTTGATTTTTATATTTAAACTTTATTATTAATTATATTTAATTAATAAAATCAAAGGAGAGTTTTTATAAAAGATCGCTTAAGTAGAATTACTAGTTTGTTTTTATATATATGTATATATAATATTAATACACATAATATATGTACATAATATTTTTATTTGTTTGAGTTGGTGTCAATCAGTACCTACACACAATTTTGTAGATAAATCTCTAAGTGTCTCACTGAAAATGTGAGATGACTTCAGTGTCGACTGTGCGGGTTAGGCTTCTACCTCATTCTTAATGTGCTTAGTTCTACTGACCATTTCTGGTTGTTGGAGTTAACGAAACCTTTAACTGGTTAAATGTTGAGTTGGACTGGTTTTCTAGAGCTTCACATAAGATCTTCCCTTTCCACGATATCACAAACTCTGTAATTCTTTTAAAGACTCAAAACAGTACATTGCTCCATTGTTATTTTCATTGCCCATTTATATTAAGTTAAAATCCTTTTCAAACAAGTATGCTGGAAAATTGATGAAAAATGTACGTATCTCATGCCCATCAACAGAGGCCAAAAAAAAGGCGCTTGGCAGAATGAAGGAATGGAATGAATTTTAAGCTCAAAATCGCTTTCTTCGACAAAGAGTTACTGTTGAAGTCATCTAAAGGAATAGATAAATATAAATTAGATCACAAATAATAAAAATATTAGGAATAAAACAAATTAATTGAATATTAAAAAGGAAAATTATTTAAAAGGTACAATAATTTATATATATAAAAGTTATAAAGTTTTTATATTTTATAAAATTTTTTAACGGGCTAATTGGTCATTTAAATAGAAATAAAAAAACTTTAACTTATTATTTATATTTAAAAACAAATTATATATTAAAATATTTTTACGATATTTCGACTATCTGCGATAGTCATCTTCAGGAAAACTAACGATAATAAAATAATAAAATATTTTTATTTTCTTTAAAATTCTCTCATCTTTCAGTGAGGAAATCAATATGTTTAATCGTAATATACTTCATCAATGATTTAGAAAAAATCACACAAACTTGGCTCTCTCTTTGTAGATCATCACTAGTTCTTTGTAGGATATCTCACCTAGTTATTAATTTGAAAACTTCACATAAGGAGGACCTTGGCTCTTCCTAGAATCTATATATAACTTGGAAATGGACACCAATACATAGTTTTTACTAGTTAACTGTAGACTTCTGTGCTGAAAAATTCCTAAAGATATTTTTTGTCTATTTACTTATTATTTTCTTTTCACAGAAAGATTCTAGTATTTATTCATCCTTCTCAAAGCAAAAAGACTCCAGATGACTTTAGGTCTTTTTCTTTTTTTGCATATCGACGAATTTTATGATTTGGCTTATCTGAACAATATTCGATCCCCATTTTCGCCTAGTGATTATATAGAGCATCATATTTATTTAGTTACGTTAGAATAGATTACTGCTAATGCCCGGCCACTAATGTTTAGAATATCTTGACTTAGCATGAAATGTGTGAAGTTTTTAAATGATTATGGATTTTTGAGTAATTAACTTAAAACCGGTCAAGAAAATATTTTGTATTGTTAAAATTAAATTAATTTATTTTATATTTAAAAAAAAAAAACAATACTTAATTGAATTTTTTATCTGGCTATAAGATTCTTCGCAGTACTGCCAAATACTCAACCTGGTAAACATTTTAAAATGATTGTTCTTGTTCTTATTGTATTAATTATAATTAATAAATTCGCAAATAATTATTGGACTTCAATGTAATAGATCTTTAATTCTGTCAAATTCGAAGCAAATTACTTCGGCGTTTATTAACCGAACGAGTCGAAGCTGTAGGAAACTATCGTTGTTCAAATTTCAAGTTATTTATTATTTTTTGCTAATTTCTTAGCACTTGCCATGCCTTTTAATTAGAACAGACTTATAAGTTACGGCTTATAGAAAACACCATCAAAGAAGTGATACTAATATTATTTTAAGCGATCGGAGTTGAGTTGAGTTGAGTACTCTATTTCCAATTAGATCTCCATATATGTCACATAGTACGTTGTAGCAAACACTAAAGGCTACTAGAACAGTCTAAAAATATTTATTAAAACCCATAAACATCACGTGCCTCAATTCTCTAAATAATAAACAATAAAACATTGTGAATAATAAAATAAATTTATTCATGTACACCTCGGGAATATTTTTGAGTAATATTAGAAATCGCGTGGCTTCATTTGCGAAACTAGTTCCTGGAGGCGTAACCCCGTTATTCATCTCTAACTTTGTTAAGATTGTACAAATTTTTGTCATTTCACATCTCATCAAATAGAAGAGAAATAAAATAAAAATTTACAAATAATAAAATTATAAGGTTTTTATTAATGCGCATATTTAAGCAGCTCAGGAAAAAAAATTACCAAAAAAAATTTATGCAAAACTACAAAGAACGTTTCGCTATCAAATAATCTCGCTAGTAAAATTCTTACTTAAATCAGAATAAATTTTTCCAATTTTTTCATTATTGACTCTTTACTTAACATACTTAAGAATGATAAAATCATATTACTGGCAAACCCATTTAGTGTGTTTTTATTTAAACAAACTAATACCAAAAAAAAAATTATTATTTTAATAAAAAATTTTGACGAAATCAAAGAGCAAATCAAACTCTAAAATTAACATATAACAAATTTTTTTGTGTAGTTATTTAATTGATTTAATTATATTAATTTCAGTTTATTTATAAATATATTATCTAATTGTGGTTTTTGTTCGATGATTTATTTTATAATAATTAAAAAGTTCACTTATCAAAGTAAATATTATTAACAAGGTTATAAAAAATTCATACTGGTTTTTTTTTAAATAAATTTTATTTGAAAGCTATTGCAATCAAAATCTTCGACAGGGTTCTCATAGTCTTTACCTAAATTGTTCTAAAAATTGTATGACATCAAATAAAAAATAACCTAAGAATCACCCAAAGAAACTGGGATTTTACTCTAATTAGACTTGTAGGTTTTTTATGGTTGACGAAAAAAAGCCTTGAATAATTTTATAGAGATTTTACAGGCACCAATCCAGAAACTAGTTAGAATTCCTTTTTTAAATTCTTTCAGAATTCACTACCATAACGATTTCATTAATTTAAGTTTTATTATTAGAACTGAGTGAGAAAATATCTGCTGTCTTTTTTAATTTCAGTAAGACTTAATTAGAGTCCGACAGTTATAAAACCGTAAATAAAAGAGTAGGCCTCCACTTCTGCAAAAGTAATTATGCTTGACAAACATTGCAACTCCTTCTATCGCTCTCGATTACCAGTGAGTATTCTGAGACGCAGTCATTATTGTTGGGATTGATACTACATCGTTCTTACTAACTTCTTTATAAGAACGGTGCAGAGGTTTTTTCACTTTTTCATCTTCCAAAGTAGTGAGAATTCCTTTGCAGTGCCATTCTACCGATATTATTTCATTTTTAAAGCTAATACCTAATCTATCGTCATTTATCATTTCATTATGTTTAAACGATAAAACTGTGTGTTTATATTAATCTTATTATTTTATCGCAGAATTTTCTGTTTATATATTCAGTCACTTCCCAAATGTTGCTATTAGTACATAAAAACTGCTCCTATGCTGATGTTATATATGCAATTTTATATTTTGTATAATATTGCATGTGATCCATACCTTACGTTACTACCCTCACTAAACGTTTGCAGATATGTTTTATACAGCCATATGAGTTCCGTCTTTATTATGATACCATTATTTGCATCATAATAATATTTGAACAGCTTAAAATCTTCCATCGTAGGGTTCTAACTTCATGTTCCACTATTAAAGACGTCCTGTTTGCAGAAACCTAAGTTCAGTTTTTACGAATTTAATGATACAGAGTAGCTAATTATTAAATATTAGTGTAGAATAGATAAATATTATAAATTGCTGTATATGGATGTATGCAAATTGAGTTTTAAAAATGCCAATTGTCTTATTCATAATCATATTTAACACACCGAAAAAGGATAGGTACCAAGGGTGCGCACCCTAGGTAGACTTGGTTATTATCCTTTTATTTACAGCCATATTTAGTTAGCAACCCAAAAAGGATAGCTACTTATTATATATCTAACACACGTAGAAAACTCATAGATGACGGTATGCACCCTTGTTAGAGCCTACTATTTTTTGAAAAGACCTGACTCCCTTTCCCCTTATAGCGAACGTAACCTATTGTTTTAGAACACTTAGAAAGAATTTCCTTTAAACTCTAAAACCAACAGTTTTTTTCACGTCTTAATAATGTCCTTCGACCTTATGTTAGACTAGAATAAACAACCTTTTAAATGAAAAAAAAATATGATAAACATGATTTCTTTACAGAAAACAATTTTCACAATGTTTAGGAGAAGTACGCTTATAACTCCTAACATGAACTTTATTGTTTACATATTTACATACACAATGTCAAAATATCATCATAATTTAAGAAATTTTATTAAACTTAAGCTTTAACATAAATATTGGAATGAGCAATAAATTAAATATTGACTTGTAAAACGTGTTGTTAATTAATAAGTATGACTGGCAATTGTCCATTCAATTGAAATATTAGATGAATACTCATAACAGCGAATTGTTGCGAGGAGGCAGTTTTATAAGTACGACAAACAAAATAAGTTCATAGTCATTGAAAACGTAATTCACACGGCATTTAGAGTCTAAATTACAAGTAAATAATAATCATTTTAAAATAACATGCACATACAAAGACTAGCCCTACCATTTCCAACAGAAACTACTGTTAAGGTAACTGCATCAGAGAGCCTGACTTTATGTTTGCATAAATACTTAACACTCCTAAGCCGTTTATACTAATTTCGATACAAAGTAATATAACGGTTTTTTTTCTTTTGAACTCTTTACAGACGGCGCGCGGTTGTTGGTGGTATTTCTTCTCCAAATTTACTGAGTTCTTCGATACCTTCTTCTTTGTGATGCGTAAACGCTATGATCAAGTATCGACACTCCATGTCATACATCATGGCATTATGCCGGTATCAGTTTGGTGGGGTGTGAAATTCACACCTGGCGGTCATTCTACCTTCTTCGGTTTTCTGAATACATTCGTGCACATTATAATGTACACCTATTACATGTTAGCCGCTATGGGCCCTAAAGTACAAAAGTATTTGTGGTGGAAGAAGTACCTCACAGTCTTGCAGATGATACAATTCGTATTGGTAATGGTCCACTCATTCCAATTGTTCTTCAGAAATGACTGCAACTATCCAATCGGTTTTGCTTACTTCATTGGTGCGCATGCTGTTATGTTCTACTTCCTCTTCTCCGATTTTTACAAACAAGCCTATTTAAAACGCGAACAAAAGGTGAGATATAATACTAATTTAATTATAAATTTTTTATTTACCATATATAATTTTTATTATTGTGTTTTTTGCAGAAAGAAAAATTGGCCAACAAAGCAAATGGTTATGCAAATGGTGTACATAAAACGCTCGAATACCAAAATGGATCAGCATACGCTACCGAAATCAATGGCAACACTAAGTTGCAGGACTCCATGCTCATCACATCGCCAACAGCAACAACAACAAGACAGCGAGTATTTGCCGCAGCCAATAATTAATTTATTTAAAATATAAATATAAAAAATTCTTAGTCTTAAGTAAAAATTTATATTTTTTATTTTTATTTTTTACTCGTACAGTAGATCGTGCAGTTAGATCCAAACATAGGCAATCGGAGTATGTTAGATGTTAGGTAGTTATGTTACATAGTAGCAGACAGGAGCAGACGGGAGCAGTGCCTTGCGCTTGGACAATTGCATTGCTTAGCTTCTTTAGAGTTTTAGACTAGACATCGTATATAATTTTTTCTTAAATTGTATTAAACTGTGTAAGTTGTTAATCGCGGAGGAGTTAGTATATTATATTATTATACTAGTTTGTATTTTGTATTTTGTATTATGGTCATTTGGACTTCACATCTTATATACACATGTACATATGTAAAATTGTATATGCGTACCATAGGCACTTTTGTTATAATAATGTATGTATTTTATATATCTGAATCTGTACTTTAATTAAATTAGTTCATTTGTATGAAAATAATTTCGAAGGGATTCGAAAGGATATTTTTGATAATAATAATGATCGTGATTGTTTGTATTTGTGTACCTTTTATGACTAAAGTTCAAAACAAATGAAAACATTTCGATAAATAAAAAATAAAGTTTGTAAAATTTATATTTTTTAACAAACGAACATTTTTGTTATTATTTTTATATATATATATATTTGCATAGTATAACATTTAATTAATGTGTCAATTTTGCTCCTTATCGGCGTCTCTACGTAAAGTGAAATAAGATGTCAATGGCTTTTGAACATAATCGATAAATCACATAATTCTAAGTGATGCATTCCAAAATAAAATTTATTTCTTCAAAACATCTATTTGTATTGAGGCTATCTATTGGCAATTACATTCATCGGAACGCTGACTCATTCACTGATGTTGTTGAGTTGGCAACCCTTCTGATCTGACATTTCATATCCTGATTTATTATTTGTATTTAATTTAGTTCACTAACTTTTATTATCAACACTCAATGAGGCAATAGCTGCTGTAGTTTATAGTAGGTGACAACGGATGCTTAGGTTACAGGCACTCAACCACAATCTCTCCAAAGCAGTCGAAGAATTGTTACTTATATATATGCGTACTTATTAATAATGGATTTTTAAGATAAATCTTTTGCTAAATTATATCGAATGTAAACCCTCCAACCCAGAAATTACTTTTTGGATACGGGTCTGGCTGGCGAATACTGTAGCTAGTAATTGTTTCTCAATCTTAAGCTACTAAAATGTATTGTTCAACTGCTCGCATGGTTCCAAAACAGATAAATGTATGGAGTATTTGACTGTAAAAATGCGATTTTTAACCAAAAAATCCATCACAAGTGCTCCATCGGTGAGATTAATTTTTTAATCGTTAATCAATTTGTATAGCCAAAAACGTAAAATATCTGCATCAACAACAGTGATAACTTTAAATCCTGTATATAAATTATTCAACATTTTTAGTTAAAGAGTGGAGATATTTTTACTTATCATTGTAAAAAACTTACATAAGCCTAAAACAACCATGCTTAATGATTGCTGCATTATACACCTTACAGAGAATTTTCTAGGCTGAATATTTTCTACTACATTATTCGAATAAGGATGTCAATCATTCCCTCGTGGATTAAATGTACTTTCAAACACTGTGGAAGAATTGTAAGAACAATTATCACGAACATTTCAACCTTTGCATTCGTATAGTCTAGCCATCTCCATAAGAAATTTAATGTTACTAAACTTAAGTTCACTGCTGCATATATGCTATGTTAAGTACGAACTAGTACTATTTTTAGTAAAATAAGAATAGTTTTTGAATATTATAAAATTCTTTGACTTTTATAGGAGTTACTCTCTTTATTTTATTTATTTTTATCAAAAAGTCAAAAACTGAGGACACACAAAACTAATGCAGTGTTTTTTTTTAAGAATGTATTTCTAAATGTAATAAGATATATTAGAAAGGTCAATATTAGAGTTAGTCTTAAAAAGTTTTAATGGTTAATTAAAATTAATTTCAATTAAAAGAATTGATTATTTAGCATTTTGGACCTCTTTCTTTTGCTAACTCGTAGTTGCTATTTATTTTAAGATCTTTGAGGATCCTAAAAGATCAGTTAGAGACGCCTAATCTGCTGGAAAGCTAGATCAATTAATTTATAACCACATATAATATAAACGTTTTTATAACACGCAAAGCATGTGAATATGCACAATTTACCTGTTAATCGAAAAGAATTTTTAGCGTTTCTACATCTTGAACCGTAAGACTATTAATTAACTACTAACTACGCTCAAGTTACAGTTAAATCAGACTATTGTTAGATTCCTTTTATCATAATTTCTTATAAATAAAAATAGATCAAAAGGAATGGTTCCTATCTACGATAATTTTTTGTTCAACGCGTTATTAAGTTCTTTAAAGAACAACACTGATTTCTTTCCATC